GCTCGCAAGTAAGGGCCCAAGTTCGATCCCAATACCAAAAAAAAAAAAAAAAAAAAAAATAGGACTAATAGTATCTATGCAGAGTTGTTGTGAAGAATGAGTTAATATACATAAAACACTTAGAATAATGCTCTGCACAAAATAAATACTTTGGACATCTGCACTATCATTACTATTATCATTACCAATGTGTCTTGTCTTAATCTTTTATTTTTCAAAGTACAGAAAACTCAGACAGGAAGGAAAAATGCTATTTACTGGAATCCTCACTTTTACCTCCAGCAGCATTAGAAGTTTAAGTAAAGAAGTCTCAAATGAGTCTTAGAACAATTATCTTTTTGTTTAGTTCTTGGATCCTTGCTAGATGAAATTAGAAAGACTCTATCAATAGGTGTCACAGATGCCAGGCCAAGCATCTCAGACTTTAGCTCAAACTGGATTGAAATTTATTCTTTTGGGCTCCACACCAGCAGCCAGCTCTTCACTTGCTTCTCAAAGATTCCTGAGTCCCTTAGTTTATCTGCATATTCCAGAGGGCTCTTGCTCAGGCCCTTGTATATCCTACCTTGGTCTTTGCAGAGCCTACCTAAGAAGAGAAGATTCTTTTCTACCTAGCCACAGTGATTCTTACCTTTGATTCAAACATCAGGTAAGCCACAATATTTGGAGTACAATTTGTTAAGTACAGTTAGAGATATCTTTAAATGGTACTACAGGAGCAAAGCAGTTGGGATGGGAAACAGATGGCATATTCAAAAGGATTGATTAAAGAGAGTTTAATAAAAGATTTTCTTAGAAAGGTGTAGGTAGAGTTAGTGATAATGAAGCATCACACTGAGAAAAATGTCCCCACTCTTAGGCCTGAAGAACCAAAAGGAAGGAGTTATTACCAAAATCCAGAAAGAAAGCTATAAAGAGGGTTACCTGAATGGAATTCTATTTTCATAGATTAATGTAACCCTTGCCAATCCAAGGCCTGGAAGAGGGAGAAATCATGGAAATATTACTACAGCAGTATCACTCCTTTGTATCCTTGGAGCTTATTCTAGGGCCTCTCATTATTCAATCACACCAGAAAACTAGAGGGCAAGTAAATTTGAATAAGGTTGTACCTTTGAGGACAAAGGGAAAGAAGAACATGGTGGAGAGGGGAATCTTAAAACAAGCCAAGAGCAGCCTTGCACAATAAGCAATGGGACTAACTTCCTGCTGATTTCAAAGACTTTTTAGGCCAACCCATTCGAGATCCCGTCTGTCTTTCAAGAACTAGTCCTATTCCCCAATAAATTTTGCTATCCTTAAAAAAAATAAATAAACAAGCCGGGCGTGGTGGCACACTCCTGTAATCCCAGCACTTGGGAGTCTGAGGCAGGAGGATTGCTGTGAGTTTGAGACCAGTCTGGGCTACATAGTGAGTTCCAGGTCAGTCTCAACTACATAGTGAAACCCTGTCTCAAAAAAACAAACAAACAAAAAAAAAAAGACTTTTTAGAGAAGATAATACTGAGTTAGATGTTTAAAAATAAGTAGAGGATTTACCAAGTGCAGAAGGGAGTAGTAACATTTCAGGCAAAGGGATAGCATATTCAGTAGTTAGGACCAGATTATAAAGGCTTGTAAATGCCACGCTAAGGTAATTCAACTCAATCCTGTGATGAATAAGGATCCAAGGATCCATTCAATGATTTTCAGAGAGAGGAAAGAGAGAGAGAAAGGGAGGGATTTATTTTTATTAGTATATGTTGGTTATACATATTAAATACATTCATCATGGGAAATTGGTATAAAAGATAACTAATGGCAGTATATAGGATGGGCTAGAACGGTGAGTTTCCAGGGGCAGGAAGGTCATTTTAGAGATCTTTGTGATACTCCAGGCAAGACAACTATGAGTGTCACTAAAACAGTAGCAATGATTCCAGACCTATTTTGAAGATAAAATTAATAGAACTTGATGACCCAGACACTATGCAGAATGCCAGAAATGGCAGAATCTAGATGACTATCCAATTTCTAATTTTAAAGACTAAGCAGATGGTGGTAACGTTAATCAGAAGAGATAATTCATAGAGGTAGGTATGTAGGCAACCATCTGGATTTCAGTTTTATACACGTAAAGTTTGCTATACCTATGGAACACCCTGAGAAATTTCTTGTTATCATTGGGTAATAGATTCTCACCAAGACTGTAGCAAGAGACCTAGGAGCCAGATATACAGTCTGGAAGACAGTTTGCTTTTTGTAGCCTACATAAGACATACCCATCAGATTTTTCTCAACCTCTGTAACTAACAAAGGGAAAAATGTGACTCATCAAATAATGAAATAAGTCACAATAAGAGACAAAAACAAATCCACTACTGATGTTCCTTACCATGAGAAGAGTTTTTCCATTTGTTTGTGAGTAAGAGAAATGCAAAACTCAGAGTTGCATGGTCGCTTAAGAGTGTTCTTTAAAAAGCAAGCAAACAACACTTGACTTTGAAAAATGAATGCTATTTGCTCTTTTAATTTAAACTCATTCATTTTGTAAATAAAAATCCAACTTTCCCACAGCAGTTTCATTTTATTATATAAACTCATACCCCAGTGAGGTATTTGAGCAAGGTTCTTTCCTTTATAGTAGGTATATAATAAATATTCACCAGAGGAATGAATGAATGGGTAGGGAGATGGATAAACAAAAGCAATAGATTATATCAAGTTAATGCTGATTTTGTTATAAGCTTGATATATATCTAAAAGTGTGTAAGAAACATAATCAACAGAGAAATAGAAACTGCATAGGTTTGCTTTACCAGTAGAAGAGATCCAAAATTATTGACCTGACTGCCAGTTTCTTTTTTATGTCCAGCTGCCTCAGTCACTTTACAGAAGAAATGAAATAGTTTTCTTCAAGATTCTTGTTGGGTTAAATTGTCAATACTATAAGGTCTCAAAACTTGACCTCTTTTGTGTAATTCCCAGCATAATTATTTTTGAACCTTAGAAATATGGTTCTGATTATATGAAACCAATGGAAGTCTGCCATTAGTAGTACATAATGAGGTACAAGTAGAACCAATTCATTGTCAACACCTAACTTTACGCATGACCATTATATAACTTAATATGTCTATTAAAAATTGTATGGGATTGTAGGTGTGGCTCAGTAGTAGTTCACTTACCTAGCATGTGCAAGGCCCTGGGTTTTTTGATCACCACACACACAAAAAAAAATCACTCATTAATCTATGTTCTATTCAAATCCCCTTTTCAATTTTTTATTCAAAATTACTTCTAAAAAATGTATTTTGTGTAGTTCTCCATCTTGTGTCATTTAGAATGAATCACTAATACACTACATATCCATATCCCTTCTCTGCCTCCATCGTGATGTTGTTTCTTTATCTTCAGTGGACAACTGCGGCACGGCACCTAGGCATCTGCTAGCTCTCCCAAGCCATTTAACAAGTGGAAAGATTTCCTCCTGACTTCTGCCTCTCTAAGCTACGTGGAGTCTGAAGAAGACTGAACCTCAGCTCGATCATGATAAGGCCCAGGCACTCACAGATCATTTGATCTCTAGGTAAACACAACCTACTTCTAAATAAATGCACTAGGGCCAGGGATTTAGCTCAGTGGTGTTGCCACCTGCCTTGCAAGTGCAAAGTCCTGAGTTTGATCCTCAGTACGGCAAAAAAATAATAATAATAATAACAATAATAATAAGCAAGCTGAAGATAGGAAGATACAGGAATACTGAAAATTCTTGACACATTTTTAACTTTTGTTTATTATATAAAATACATGTATTTAATTAATGTCTCCCTCCTCTATATACGTGGATGCATTTCATGTCCTAGCCATCTAACTGTTATTCTCAATGTCTAATACAACATTAGTTGCCAGTAGAATTAAGAAATTGCCCCATGGGCCGGGGATTTAGCTCAGTGGTTCTGCTGCCTGCCTCACGAGCGCAAGGACCCAAGTTTGATCCCTGGTACCAAAAAAAAAACAAAAAACAAAAACAAAAGAAATTGCCCCATACATGGTTTTTCCTTCATTCTAGTTTTTATTATAAAGTTTTTCTTTAATGAATATGAACTACTTTACAATAAAATAAAGTCTCAATATTTTGTGTTTTAATGTAAAGTTTTGTACAGTATCATATATCCATCTATGTGAGTTCCTCATCTTTGAAGTCAACAAACTGCAGATCAAAAATATTTGAAAAAAATTACATCTGCACTGAACATGTCCAAATTTTTTCCTTATCATTATGTGCTAAAAGCATGGCATAACTCTTTATATCACAGTTACCTTGAATTAAGTATTATAAGTAATCTAGAGATTATTTAAAGTATATAGGAAGAAAAAAGTATATAGGAAAACGTGCAAAGGCTATAGGAAAATCCTATGCCATCTTTTTTTTTTTTTTTTTGGTACAGGGAACTGAACTCCAACCAAGAACCCCGAGCAGAGACCTACAAACAAAAAGGACTACAGTTGTACTCCCCATAAGAAGTGGACTTCAGACCTGCCTGTCTGCGATCACCCGGCGGCGTGCGCGTGAGCTCCCGGCCTGCGCGACAACAGA